TCATTTCTTGATTAATTTTTACATATTTTCTTATTCTTCAGAAGAATAGGGAAAATGTTCTTTGAATTTACCCTGAACCTTGATAAACAGTGAGAATGTTGATAATTGAGCAGTTAAATACAAACTACGAGTTGTGGATCATTATGTGTCATTAATTTATTTCCTTAGATACATTATAGCTTCTCTTTCTAATGAAAAGACCAATTTTGTCTTCTTTCTTCCCATCCCGCTTTTTCTTATTAATTGTATAGCTTTTCTGAGTTTGCTGCTTCAGAAGCAGCAACAGTAAATAAACAAGTATTACCACAGCCCTTGTTCCTGTCCCTTACAGCTGAGAACAGGGACTGGGAGATTGCTGCTGCTAGTCAGCAGTTGTTCCTAAATACATCAAATATGCAATGATGGTAGTCAGAAAAGCCTGTACCCACCAGTTTTTACAGACTAGATAGGAAAGGCCCCACTGTCAGTGTAACCCAGCTATAGTATAATGAATACATTCTTTGACAAAAATATATCTTCCCAAAAGAGCATAAAGAGAACAGTAGATACTTTTTTAGACTCGTTATTTTTTACTGTTTACTCTCATTTTAGTTAATGTAAATTTTTATTCAGATAATTTGTTTGAATGAAAGCCTGTCTTCTGGAAGTATGTGTGTATGGTATTTCGTGTTTTTCACTTTTAAGCTGGTAGACTGGGAAAAATTAGTAATTAGTTGCTGATAACACAGGTTAGGTAATATATTGAGGAAAGAAAAGTTGACTGTGGCCACAAATGAGTGTTCGTTTTACTTTGGAGCCATATTCTGAGCCCACATTATTTTTGTTTTATATAGCCCAGTCTAAAGAAACCCAGCTTGTTGACCTCATTCTAACAAAAAACACCACCTTATACTACTTAACTAAATCTAAAGCATGCTGAACATGGAAATTCATATCTCTGCTTTTTCCTCTCTATTAGAATGTCTTGCATCTTGAAAGTTCAGGTTATTCTAAATCTTTTGAAAGTAGAACTTTGTAATTTTAATTAGTGTAGAGAGTGTTCTTGATTTTTATAATTTGAATTTGCATAAATTTGCATCACCTAAATATCTGTACATTTTTCTCCTCTTTTGTATCTAAGTAATTCCAATAGGTTGTAATTACATGGAAGTGAATATTGGATTTCTGTTAAAGTTCTTATACCATTTGTAGTATTCATGCTGGAAGCTACAAATGACATTTTAGTATATGTCTTAATTTAGTAAATGTCTTAATTCAAAGTCTAACATTTGCAATAGCATTTCTTTAAAAAAGTAATTATAGCTTTTCCTTGGTAATCTTCATTAAAAATCACACCTGATCACTCCCATTCTTAATATTTTTCCTTACCAATTGCAGTAAACTAAGAATGTTAGCTCTCTACTATTATTATCCAAAAAAGCTTTGTTGAATGTGCTTGGTTATCTGGTGATAAATGAGCCCCCAGCATGGTTTAACATTGTGAAGTCAAACATATTCAACCATAAATTGAAATTACTTTTTTTTTTTACTAATACTGAAATGTTTTAATATGTTGATCAATTTAACATAACAATACTTACTGTTAAATGACCCTTAACAAAAATGTGAGGTACATAATCCTTTATATTAAAAATACCTTTTTTTCTACTGATTTTAATTACTGTGCAAAGTGTCCGTGAACTACCTGTACCAAAATAGCCTAGAATAAAACATTTTTCTAAACCTGCTTAATCAGGATCTAGGGCTGGGGCCGGGGCTCAGGAATTTGTGTTTTTTTCCAAGCTATGACCCTTTTTTTTCTTAGAGAAGCACTGACCAAAATTAAATGAGAGAGGATTCTTCATACCAAAAAAACATTTATAATTTCTGCTTTTTTCCCTTTTTGGTAATGGTGTTTGTAAGCTCAATAACTAATTATGAATCTTTTCATTTCTACTGCAGTTGTTATAGATTAGATCTTGATTTTTTTCCAATCATGAGGAAAGTTTTATTATGCAAGCTTTACTTTTGTTCAAGTACCTTGGACCAAAATTAGCCTGATCTATTAGAACATTCAGTATATCTACTTTTGGTGAATTGATCACTTAAGAATTTATTTAAATTTCCATTTAGATAGTTGCTGTTTTTCTTAAATGTAGTTTCAAATATTGGAAAAAGGGTAACTTTTGTTATGCTGCTTGTGGGAGCATTTGACAATGTTCTAGTAAAATTGAAGATATACACAGATTTGAACCAACAATTCCATTCCTAAATGTCCTAGACAAACTAAGACATGTGAAACAGTTTTACTTTTACTTTCAGTAGGAAAAAAAACTGAGAGCAATATAAATGTTAAGCAGCAGGAGAATGGCAAATTGTGACATAGTCATATGATGAACTCTTTGTTATACTGCTACTTAAGTGACAGCTGTGTGTATTGTCACAGATGAATGACAAAAATAAGTTTCAAAAGGTTTTATGCAACATAACAAGTTTGGTATAATATATATATATGGTATGGTAACATTTATATAAACCTTGAAGGCAATGATATACAGGGTCCAGCAGAAGTAACACCATTGAGTGTGGCTAGTTGGATATGTGAATGTCTCGCACAGATGGACAGCAATTTGAACAGTTCACCTAAGATGTCTTATGGTGTGCTTGAGTGTGATATTGTTATGTTATAGAATTTCATGCTTATGATTTTGTAATTTAAACATTTTATGTAATACAAAGGGGTGTTATTTGTGCCAGACCCTGTATATTGTTTTAGATATTTCAATTTGTAGAAATAATGTTAAAAGCATGCATAGGAAATAAATACCAAATTCAGGATTGTGATTGTATCTCAAGAGAGAAGAGAATGGGATCAGGATATGGTACAAAAAGGACTCAACTATATATGCAGTCTTTTTTCTTCAAAAAAAAAAAGGCAGAATATTAGAATTAAATAACTGCTGGATTGGAGGGCTAGGGGTAGGATGTGGAGATTATTCTGGTATTCTCTTGGTTTTTCAGTGGACTTAAGATGTTGATTTTTTTCCCATATTAATGAAAAAAATAACCTTTTTTGGTGAAGACATTCTACAATAAGATGTATAATTGGAATGAATGTTTCATTAAGAGTATGAATGGGTTTAATCTATTCTTTGTATTCTGTTACTTGTGGTAAGTGCTTAACTGTTAGTGGTATAAGAACTACAACTTATAGCCCTGGCCAGGTGTCTCAGATGTTGAAGCATTGTGCCACCCACCCAAAGTTTGTGGATTCGATGTGGTCAGGGCACATACCTAGGTTGTGGGAACCAATTAATTCTCTCACATCAGTCTTTCTCTTTCTCTCCATCTCCCTCTCTCTCTCTCTCTCTCTCTCTCTCTCTCTCTCTCTCTCTCTCTCTCTCAGTTTCTCATGTTTCTCACACCCTCCCACTCCCTCCCTCTCTTCCTGTCTCTTTCTCTCTAAAATCAATGAAAATATCTTCAGATGAGGATTCAAAAAATAAAGAACAACTTACACGAGGTCTGTCGAGAAAAAGTCTGACAATTGTTAATATAATGAGAACAGTTTGCAAGACATCAGTGTAACCTGGCAGCAAGGAGAGTGGACTGGAATATGCATGTTTGAACAATGACGACTTCACTGTACTAGTCGGCGGAGGGGGGCAGTGGACTCCATTGAGTAAGCATGGGTACTGTGCGGCCTCACATTCAAAATGAATGAATGAGTAGAGCAATGAATCTGCATCGAATTTTGTATTAAGCTTGAACATTCCTCTGGGGAAACTATTCAATGATTCAGATGGCTACAGCTGGTGATTGGCAGCTTCATCAAGACAATGCACCCACACTCATGCATCCTCTCCTGCAGAGTTTTTGGTGAAACATCAAATCACCCAGGTGACAGCCCTACTATAGCCCAGATTTGGCTCCTTGCAACATCTGGCTTTTACCAAAACTAAAATTCAAGAGATTTCAGACTGTCAGTGAGATTCAGGAAAATAAGACAGGGCAGCGGATGGTGATTGGGAGAACTGTGTGAGGTCCCAAGGTGCCTACTTTGAAGGGGTCTGAGGTGTCACTGCCCTAGGGACAATGTTTGTTGTATTGTATTTTCTTCCATAAATGTCTCTATTTTTCTATAGTACGTGGCTGGATACTTTCTGGACAGCCCTCATGATATATCCCACAGAAATCAAATCTTTTAACCAACTTAGGTTTCTAGGATATTTTTAAATATTCTTGTTTTTAAAGATAAGATATATAATGTTTCTTTTTTTCTTTTTTTTTTCCCCCAATTGGCTTTTAATCCTTCTTACTCTTCTAAAGAGCAACCATGGAAGTAATTTCCCTTACCACTACTCTTTCATTTACTCTTGAATTCAGTCAATTTTTTTATTTTTTTAATTTTCTATTTTTATTTTTTTATTTAATTATATTTTTATCTTTTTAACTTTTTTTATTGTTCAACTATAGTTGTCTCCAATTCCGCAACTATATTTTCTTTTGATTTGGCCATAGACTATAACATTTTTAAATATTTCTATATGCATTTTAAACTCCACCTTAAGCTTTGTATTCATCCTATATTATAATAGACTCTTGAAATTGAGCAATATGTGGATTTTTAGATTTTTGCAGTAACATATATGTATATGTGTGTGAGAGATTGATAAATCTTGAGGTATGATCTTCAATTTATCTTAAGATATCTTCAGTTATATGATGTTCTCCAGAAATCAGTGTGCTTCAAGTTAGACATTGAAGTATGAGTTTTAATTACACATATATAGTTGATCTTTAAACTTCAAGAAGGTAAAAGCAATAGAAAGATGAGTTTTAAAAATTAATGATAATACTCTGGACTGAAATATATAAATGCTGCTGCTAGATTTTATGATCTATGACTGTTATATGCTTCATAGGGATCAAAAAATTGATTGTCATCCTTAGTAGAAAATTTTCTAACTTATGTAACATGAAAAAAATTTTTAAAGTCTTCACTTTTATCTTTTTCCTAGGTTTAATAATGATAAAATGAAGAGCATAATGAAATAGCCTGTACTTGGTTCAGCAATTTTTACCTTGTAAGTATTAACTCACAGTCTCCCTACCATTACTATAAAGAAGTTACTGTTTAATGTCATTTTTTGCTTTATTTCTGATTTTCTTTTTACCATCCTAGAATGTTAACTTTCTAACCTCCCCTTATCCTCTCTACACATTGGTATTTATTTAATTCAATTTAGAGCAAAAATAATGCCATTGCCATAGGTAAGTTTTCTGTTTGAGGAAGTATTTTACAGCCAGGCCCCAGCATCTCTAAATCTGAGAATAACAATTTTAAACCCTTTTTCATCCAAAGGAATTTATAAATAAGTAACAGTCTTTTTTCATTATCATCATTATTCAGTTTCATTGACAGTTATCCTGTGGTTTTACAAATTGGAAGTATCCTCTCCACTTAAGAAATTGTCTTTTCATTATTTTTATTTATTTTTTTTTTTTTACATTTCACTAGGTTACAATCCAGACTTCTTTGTGAGTGCTTAAAATTTAGCTGTTAAGCTTCAGAAGTTGGGGAAAAAAAGGAAGGCAATCCCTTTTACTTCATTTTATATATATACATGCACACCTCTTAGAATATGAAATAATTTTACCCTGATTCATTTAACTTTTGGGAAATTAGTAAATTCTAAGAAAATAATTTAACAGGTTAGCTGAAATTAATATTATCCTCCTCAAAAATTCTCAAATCCAGGTAGGTCATGGAAAACACACAAGATACTTAATTCCCTAAAAATATTTGAGACCCTATGCTAAAATGATTCATTTCCATCTATTTCTTGAGCTAATTCTACATCTCTAAATAAAAGAAACTTGATGTTAGAGGGATGGCCCTGTTTAATAGTACTTCAGATGCTTTTCTTACATTACCTCATACCATTGCATTAGTGATCCAGTAAATAATGTATATGTGTTGAAGAGTGACCTTGTGATTACAGGTGATTAGCCACTAAACTCAGTAATTAGTTTTTAGGGTTGAAATAAATTAAATATTGAAAACTGAATAATGAGCCAGATGGAAGAGTAGTGCCAAATGTCATAGGTCACTTCTTTTTCTAATTTTGTCACTGGAAATCTAAAATGGAAACATTTGCAAATCCCCAAAGAATTCTACATAATCAATGCTTGGGTTTCCTAATTGATTCTTTGGAAGCCAGCTCAACTTTTCTTCAATGTTAAGTCTTAGAAAAAGAAGTATTTTCAGTTAGTATTGGTATTGATATTAGAGGGCAACCCATTTAAAAAAAAATAGGTATCATTTAACTTCTAACATAACATCACATTCTTAACCTCATTTCATTTCCTTTATAAATTTCTAAGCAAACAGCCTTTCTTGGATACTCTCAAGTGTCTTTTGCAATATTTCATAGTTGGAATACTTCCTGTTGTCCTAGATAATAATGCCTGGAGTTCCCTTTTAGATGCAAAAGTAGGACATAGTGACCGTCAGTAATTCTGTATGAGTGTATGTATATGGCCTCTTCTAAAGTTATTCACTGATAAAATGTAGATGTTCCAGAAGTTGTGAAGTGTTAGTGTTTCATATACTATTTGATGCTCTCAAAATTAAATAATGGCAGTGTTTTGGGTTCATTTTCACAAATCGAGGAAAGAAATTAAAAATTTTTTGTTTGTTTTTTAATTTAAAGCTCTTAAACTTATATTGCTTAACAAAACATTCAAAAATAGTCATTTCCTTTCTCCCTACCCCCCCTTTTTTTAGCTATGTTTTGATATTTTTACATTGCATTTTTGGGTAATAGACAAGTTAATTCTGTTAATAAACAAGGTAATTCTGTTATGTGAATTTAAAATAACTAAGTATATCATTTTGTGCTAAATAAAATAAAATCTTTAGTTGATTGCAAGCAGCTAAGGTCATTGCTTCATTGCTTCTATCTTTTTAATCTACAACAACAAAAATTTTAAGACATTGACTTCATAACTAGGAAACAAGATAAAGTAGAAAGTTCATCATTTATTGCTATCAGTAGTCCTGTAAACAAAAATGACAGAACAAATTACTTGCAATTTAGGAGACATTAAATTTGCCTGCTCTCAAGAGCTGGGCTAGTAAAAGGAAATGACAAATTATTTCTCTCAGACTGGTTATCAAGATAAGTTTTTAGACTTCCGGCCAAGATAGAGGTGTAGGTAGACACACTGTGCCTTCTTGCACAACTAAAATAAGGACAACAAAAATTTAAAAACAAAAAACAACCAGAACTGACAGAAAATTTAACTGTACAGAACTCTGACAACCAAAGAGTTAAAATAGACACATTCATCCAGGCTGGTACAAGAGGCAGAGTCGGGCGGACCGGCGGAGAGGGGTAGCGGCAAAAAAAAAACTGGTGGCTAGTGGACTCCAGGCGCCCAAGGCAGCGGATGTTGGACCCTGGGAACCCAAGACGGAAGCAGGCGGACCCTGGGCGCAGGGTAGCTGCAGGCAGACCCAGCAAGGCGAGCAAGGTGGCTGGCTGACCAGGTGGTCACACATTCCACATGCAGATAAACCAGGCAAAACGAGGGAGTGAGACAGACTGTGCAACCCAGGGCCCCAGAACGGGGAAATACAGCCTCAAAATGCTGATCAAAAACAACTGTGAGGGTTGAGGCAGTGGGAGAGACTCCCAGCCTCACAGGAGAGTTCGTTGGAGAGATCCACAGGGTCCTAGAACATACACAAACCCACCCACATGGGAATCAACACCAGAAAGGTCCAGTTTGCTTGGGAGAAGCAGCAGAAGGGACTGAAATCCGACAGAGAGCAGAGCGAGCGCCATTGTTCCCTCTTGGACCCCTTACCTACATACTGTATCACAACCCAGCAATGGTTGCCCCACCCTGGAGAACACCTGAGGCTCCATCCCTCACTATGTAACAGGTGCATCGAGACAAAAAAAATTGTCCAAATGAAAGAACAGATCAAACCTCCAGAAAAAACACAACTAAGTGACAAAGAGGTAGCCAACATATCAGATGCACAATTCAAAGCACTGGTGATCCGGATGCTCACAGAATTGATTGAATTTGGTCACAAATTAGATGAAAAAAATGAGGGCTATGCTGTGAAATGAAGGAAAATGCACAGGGAACCAATAGTGATGGGAAGAAAGCTGAGACTCAAATCAATGGAGTGGACCAGAAGGAAGAAACAAACAAACAGAAAAGGAAAAAACAAGATTTCAAAAAAATGGGCAGAGGCTTACGAACCTCCAGGACATCTTTAAACATTCCAACATTTGAATTATAGGGGTACCAGAAGAGGAAGAGCAACAAGTGGAAAAGTTATTTGAACAAATAATAAAGGAGGGCTTCCCCAATCTGGCAAAGGAAATAGACTTCCAGGAAGCCCAGAAAGTCCCAAAGAAGTTGGACTCACGGAAGCACACACCAAGGCACATCCATAATTACATTAGCCAAGATTAAAATGGAGAGAATCCTAGAAGCAGCAAGAGATACGTAGATAGTCACCTACAAAGGAGTTCCCATCAGACTCTCAGCTGATTTCTCAAAGGAGACCTTGCAGGCAAGAAGAGGCTGGAAAGAAGTATTCCAAGTCATGAAAGTCAAGGACCTACATCCAAGATTGCTCTATCCAGCAAAGCTTTCATTTAGAATGGAAGGGCAGATAAAGTGCTTCTCAGATAAGGTCAAGTTAAAGGAGTTCATCATCACCAAGTCCTTATTATATGAAATGTTAAAAGGGACTTATCTAGGAAAAAGAAGATGAAAAACATGTATAGTAAAATCACAGCAAACTCACGGTTATTAACAACCACACCTGAAACAAAAGCAAAAGCAAACTAAGCAAACAACTAGAACAGGAACAGAATCACAGAAAAGGAGGTCACATGGATGTTAAGCAACAGGGGAGTGGGAGGAGGAGAGGGGAGGAAAAGGTAGAGAGAATAAGTAGCATAGATGGTAGGTACAAAATAGGGGGAAGGTAAGAATAGAATGGGAAATGTAGAAGCCAAGAACTTGTAAGTATGACACATGGACATAAACTAAATGGGGGGAATGTGGATGGGAGAGGCTGTGCAGGGTGAAGGGTAATGAAAGGGGGAAAATGGGACAACTGTAATAGCATAATAAAGAAAATACATTAAAAAATGAGTTTTTAGAAATATTATTAAGTCAGTAATAGAATAGCAATGGCATGTAATCATACCATTCTAGAAAATATTGTCAGTTATTGAATTATAAATGGTGTAAATGTAGGGGTGACTGAAATTACTGGTAATAAGATAACATTGTAGTCAGGGCAGTAAGTAATATGAAAAATGATATAAAAATCTTATTTTCAATTAAAATGTAATTTTTTGCTATACATCACTAGATATAGCTGAAATTTTTCTTTTTTAAATTTATTTGTCATGGAAATTTACTGTTGTGCAAGTCACTGTCTTCCTGTACCTTCACAGGGATGTTTTAATTATCTTGAATAGTATTGTAATATGAATGTTGCTGGGAGAAAGATGTGTGCCAAAAAAGAAAAAATTAATTGCTCTTTTGGCACTTGGATTAGTAGTAAAGAGTGTTACAATCCAAAGCACAAAAATTTAAGGGTGCTACGTGCTATCAGCATTTGGTGGAAAGAAGAAATTGCAAATTTCAAATTGTAACACTGAAAGAAGAAATTGCAAATTGAGGTTAGGCTCTTCAGCTATATATCATTCTATAGTTTACGAACAGAGAAAAAATTTATAATACAGCCATTATTTGGTCATTGTTCAAATAACTGCTATTTGTGAGAATTTGACAATGTTTAAACAAATACCAGGTGTTCTGACCTCAAAGTCTTATATATTTGATATGTATGTGTTTAACAGAATGGTTAGGTTGAATCTGAGCTTTTATGTTTAAGGCAAGGCTGTGTTTCAACAAAATTGTAGAAGGGGAGATGGATTTATTGTTTTCTCAATCTGAACAACTTCCCAGTATGAGAGTGATGATTCAAAGAAGAATAACGGAATTTTTTTTATTTATGAAGTTACTTTGGATGTTTTCTTAG